CTGTCCCTCTGTCCCCTCTGTCCCCGCTCTGTCCCCTCTGTCCCCCCTGTCCCTCTGTCCCCGCTCTGTCCCCTCTGTCCCCGCTGTCCTCTCTGTCCCCGCTCTGTCCCCTCTGTCCCTCTGTCCCCTCTATCCCCGCTGTCCCTCTGTCCCCTCTGTCCCTCTGTCCCCTCTGTCCCCGCTCTGTCCCCTCTGTCCCCGCTGTCCCTCTGTCCCCTCTGTCCCCTCTGTCACTGCTGTCCCCTGTCCCCAGGGTGTCCCCTCGGTGTCCCCGGGGTGAATTTGGGGGTGCCAGGCTGTCCCTTGTCCCCCCTGGGTGTCCCCTCAGTGTCCCCAGGGTGTCCCCAGGGTGTCCCCTGGGTGTCCCCGGGGTAAATTTGGGGGTCCCAGGCTGTCCCTTGTCCCCAGGGGGGTCCCCTCGGTGTCCCCTCGGTGAATTTGGGGGTCCCAGGCTGTCCCTTGTCCCCCCTGGGTGTCCCCCTGGGTGTCCCCTCGGTGAATTTGGGGGTCCCGGACTGTCCCTTGTCCCCTCAGTGTCCCCAGGGTGTCCCCTCAGTGTCCCCTCGGTGAATTTGGGGGTCCCAGGCTGTCCCTTGTCCCCCCTGGGTGTCCCCCTGGGTGTCCCCGGGGTAAATTTGGGGGTCCCAGGCTGTCCCTTGTCCCCCCTGGGTGTCCCCTGGGTGTCCCCAGGCTGAGTCTGGGGGTCCCAGGCTGTCCCTTGTCCCCTTGGGTGTCCCCAGGGTGTCCCCAGGGTGTCCCCTCAGTGTCCCCGAGGTGAATTTGGGGGTCCCGGACTGTCCCTTGTCCCCTCAGTGTCCCCAGGATGTCCCCTCAGTGTCCCCTCGGTGAATTTGGGGGTCCCAGGCTGTCCCCAAGGATGTCCCGTGTCCCCCCCCGGCAGCCAAGGCCGGTGACCCCAAGAAGGAGGAGGAAGAGGAGGAGGAGGAGATCGACATCGACCTGAGCGCGCCCGAGACGGAGCGCGCGGCTCTCGCCATCCAGGAGAAATTCCGCAAATTCCAGAGGCGGAAAAAGGAGCCGGGGCCCTGAGGGGGTCCCGAGACCCCCAACACTCCTGGGGACCCCCCCTGTCCCGAGCCGGGACCCCGAGTGACAGCGGGGGGTGACACAGCCGGGTGGGCTCCTGCGAGGGGCGGCACGGAGCCCCCCGTCCTGCGAGGGGCGGCACGGAGCCCCCCGTTTTCCATGGGAATTCCCAATTTTCCATGAGAATTCCCCATTTTCCATGGGAATTCCCAATTTTCCACCAGAATTCCCAATTTTCCATGAGAATTCCCAATTTTCCATAAGAATTTCCCCAGTTCCCACAAGAATTCCCCATTTTCCATGAGAATTCTCCCAATTTTCCATGGGAATTTCCCCATTTTCCACGAGAAATTTCCCATTTTCCACAAGAATTCCCCATTTTCTACAAAAATTTCCCCATTTTCCACGAGAATTTCCCCATTTTCCATGAGAATTCCCCATTTCCCACGAGAAATTCCCAATTTTCCATGAGAATTCTCCCATTTTCCCACGAGAATTTCCCCATTTTCCACAAGAATTTCCCCCATTTCCCACGTGAATTCCCCATTTTCCATGAGAATTTCCCATTTTCCATGAGAATTTCCCATTTTCCATGAGAATTCCCAATTTTCCACGAGAATTCCCAATTTTCCACGAGAATTTCCCCATTTTCCACGAGAATTTCCCCATTTTCCACAAGAATTTCCCCATTTTCCACGAGAATTCCCCATTTTCCACGTAAATTTCCCATTTCCCACAAGAATCCCCCATTTTCCATGTAAATTTCCCATTTTCCACGAGAATTTCCCCATTTTCCATGAGAATTTCCCCATTTTCTACAAAAATCTCCCCATTTTCCACGAGAATTCCCCATTTCCCACAAGAATTCCCCATTTTCCACAAAAATTTCCCCATTTTCCATGAGAATTCTCCCATTTCCCACGTGAATTTCCCCATTTTCCACGAGAATTTCCCAATTTCCCGTAAGAATTTCCCCATTTCCCACAAAAATTCCCCAATTTCCCACAAGAATTCCCATTTTCCCACGGGAATCCCCCATTTCCCTGGAAATAAATCCTGAGGAAGAGGAGGGTGGTGGCGCTCTGGGGGCTCGGGGGAATTTGGGGAGGGGTCCCCAGTGGGGTTTGGCAGCGGCTCCAGCTCCCCCAGCCGGGGTTTGAAGGATTTCCAGGGAAATTCCCGGGAATTTCGCACCCGCGGCGGCTCCGGGACCCCAAAAGTGCTTGGGGGTGGGTTCACAGCTGGATTCTGGGGGGTTCACAGCTGGATTTTGGGGGTTCACAGCTGGATTTTGGGGGTTCACAGAT